CTTCCGCGGAGAGGAAGTCGTGCTGCTCAAACACCACCGCGTCGTATTCCTCAGCTTGCAGCGGTTAAGAAGAAGAAGTCACAGGATCCGCACCGCACACCACACGCAGCTGTAGGGTAGGCACCGAGAGGACTGAGGCGGCCCTTCAGAGATAGACACACAGATACACAGATACACAGATACAACTCCTTCTTTTCATTCAAACGCTTATTTATAACATAACTTTCATTATTAGGGAGAAGCCAGGGACCAAAGTTAACTATACCAGAAGTGAGAGTTCATAGGTAAAGGCGAAACGAGGAAGCGTTGTGGAATTCCTAAAACGCTGCTTGTTTTCTCATTTTAGTTTATTAACTTGATACATTCTAGGCAGCTCGTCTGAGGAATTGTTGTTTCAGGTCAGTGCCTGTAGTAGAAAGCGACAGAGCCGGGTAGTTAAATTCCTCCTCGTAACACACACGAAGGAGGATACATTCACCGACGGTCCGGAGCAAATATATATAGCGAAGAAAGCGGAATATATAAAAAAAAGAGAATAAATAAATAAAGCATTAGATCTTCAACTCTCTTGGGGGCATATAGGGGATCGTGATGGAATACAGAGCAGGAGCATGCGAAGCGGAATGTATGCCTCTTGTTTTATCCGGTGCTGCCGTGTCTCAAGTACACGATCACTGCTTGAATGCGGGTGTTCCCGGGGTGGTTCACTGGGAGCTTACTCGTCCAGATGGCTTTTTTGGTTGTGGTTGGGGCCACTTGAAAGAAATGTCCCCGCAAGATGCCCGAAGATCTTCCTCCTCGGCCTCTCCTGGAGAATACGACAGTGTATCGTCAGGCAACACTCATTACTTCGGAGGTCCGCCGTTGTGTAAAGGAGCAAAATGTGCCTCGGAAAAGGAAAATCGCTGCGATGGCTCAAATGCCATAGAGTTGTCGCTTTTGCACAGTGGCCTGCTTGACGACCTGCTTGATGAAACCTCCTCTGAACAGCCCCTGCATGCGGCCACGATGGATACCGTTGCTGATGCTGTCACGCACCCCTCTGGGCTCCCCCAGATACCCGCCGCCCCACTTACAACTCTCTGTGGACTCTTCAGCAGCGATAGGACGTGGATAAATGAATGCCCGCCCAGCGCTGCGCGGAAAACGCCCGTGCCCACGTTGAAGAACAGTGTTGGTTCTCACTTGTCACCCCCGTTGGTGGCCCCCGTGGGGGGGCTTACTGCCTCTTGCAACACCGAAGCTTCTCTTGCTGACTGGACGAGGATGACGATGAGGGCGCTCTCTCACCCCTTGGCGGGAACGACACAGGGTGAAGGCCCGCGTTCATCTTTGCCAAGGCGTGCCCCTCCTTGCTGCCGGCCACGACATTCCATCACGCAGCTTATGGCGCAGCTAACAAGAGACACGAACGACACTTCTGCAGCAACTTCTGACACCCATTTGACGGCGACGGTAAAGCGACCGGAAGTAAAAGCAATCCCGCTTGATTGGCATTCCGTGGAAGGAAAAGGGACCGATCCTCTGGTGCCACAGCTGGCGAACGGCAGAGCATTGAACCGAGGGGACGGTTCAAGTGGCACTCGTTCAACTGCATCATTTCGTGACAGTGGTCGGCGGCCGTGTTGCAGGCCGCCACTTGCTGTTGGCTGTTCACCTCTTTCCTCGCCCCGAGAAGGCGGGCCTGGGGAAGCGAGTGTTCTGGCAGAGAGGGACCATGATGGGGGCCCCACTGCCGCCGCAGCTTGGCTGAAAAGCGCTGTGATGGATTCACCGCGAAGGCGACACAGGAGCGATTGCCAGTCCAGCTATCATCATCATGTATCCCAGGGTCCCCCACATGAATTGAATTTGAATCGAGACACTTTGAGTGATTTGCACCGCAACTCGTCTCAGGTCTGTTCTTTGAGGGATATGATGAATGATGTACGTTTCAGCGCAATAAAGTCGGCGCAAGAATGGCCTCCTCGAACAGGCGATGATGTGTCGAGGTTGTTAAAGCGGCTTTACGCAGAGGAGCTCCTGCGACATCTTACTGTCGTGAGCTTCTCCCGGAAAGACCCAGAAGGCGTATTGCAGTTATTTGAGTCGTGGAAGCGGAAACGCATCTTCCCACCGGATGCCCAGTTTGGAGTTTACTACTGGTATACGATGAAACGGAAAAACGAGAGGCTGTGTCTCAAGCACAACGGCTCTGGACCTTCGGCCGAGCCAAGACGAGGATGTGACTATGCATTGAGGGGGGCTCACCGCAAGTGCCGCTACCCTCATAAATGTCTGTTTTGTGGGGCAGGGGATCATGGATGGGTTGAAGAGGAACGCTGCAACCGGTATTTAAGTCTACAGGGAGAGATGAAGCGGCTAGGTGTGACAAATGACGTTGCATTGATTCTCCTAGACGCACTTGAATGTGGGGAGTAGCCAGTATCGTTTAGCATCGTGGTGGGTGGGCTGGTTTGCCCGATCACTGCTTCTGAAGCCATGAGAGTGGACGTGTATGCTTCTCCACACATATGCATGGAAGCAGTAACAACCGTAGTGTTCCCTGGTGTTCTTTGGCCGGTACATGTGGCAAACTTCCATACAACTCTGTAAGTAAGTATAAGTATTCACGCACGCGTCCTTTTTTTTTTATTTTTCTTTACTACAACGTACTCTCTCGTTTATTTGTCTTGTGGTTTGTTTTTTACTATGCTCTTTGTTGTCGTTGTTATTGTTGTTCTTGTTGCTCTTCTTCGTTTTTGCGGTGAAGGAAGACTAGGCGGAGTTTTTTTTTTTTGCCTTTTCGACAAAAGGCGTAGCGGGCGCATCAACATCTGTAGCCCCCCTCCCCCCAGAACTTGCTCTCCCTCGGCCCGGCTAGAAGCTTGTTTTATGGTTTTGTTGCTTTTTTCACCACATGCTGCTTGTTTTTTTTTTTGTTAAAACAGTTTTTTTTTTCTCCTAGTTTCCGTGGGTCTGTTCCCACGTTTGCTTCCTCACTCCCCTCGTTAGCGGCAAATAGAGTTCGGCTGTGAGTCTTTGAACATCGGCGGCATGTGCGTTGTGGGTAGAACTCCGCACTCGCTTGTTGCATTTTATTTTTACTTTTTTATTATTTATTCTTATTTTTTTCCCCCATTTCTTTTAGGCATCTCCTCCAACGCTTCCGTGCGTGTGTGTGTGTGTGTTCGCCCGGATGGGCGTGTGCCTTCCGTGCGTTATTGCCCCTACCCTGTAATTGTGCTACAGTGAGCGAGTGAGTTGTCGCGAATGTGAAGTTGGAGGAGAGTAATCAAAAACAATAGGAATACCGATAGACGGAGTGAGGCAGGCGAGGGCGAGAAATCCTCGTCCCAAGTTGAGAGAACCGCGCAACGTGCCTTCACGTACACACGCGCACAGATACAGATATATATGTATGCATGTGTGGCTCTGCATATGGGTATATGTTGTATGCATGCGTTTGTTTTTAAATTTCAGAGGGGCGTCAATGCTCAAATTCGTACTGCGGCAGGAGGTGCACAAGTATCTTGTTCTATTTGTGCGGATGCAGCATATGAATGTTTGTTTTTTAATTTCTTCTTGC